ACTGCTCCGTGCGGTAGCCAACAAACCCCATAGTATTCCAGATATGAGCTGATGGCCCGGTAGGCATTCCAGATTCATACAGAGGACTTGGGAGCATTCCAGATACGAGCTGAGGGCCCGGTAGGCATTCCAGACTCGTACTGAGGGCTCGGTGGCAATCCAGATGTGAGCTGAGGGCCCGGTAGGCATTCCAGACTCACACTGTGGGCCCAGGGGTATTCCAGTTTGTAAAGCTGTGGACCCGTTACGTGCTATTATGTTCAGTTTGTTATGATATGTTATTGCTGACATGGTTATGTGGACTGTATGTGTATCGTTATTTTGGGGGTAATTCACTAAGCTTTCGGGCTTACAGTTTCAGTTTATTATTTCAGGTGCATCAGAGGATCGTGGCAGGGCAAAGGCGTGATCGTACAGCTCCTCATTTTTTATGACTATGTTTCTGGGATACTCTGATATTCTACATTTTGAAAACAAGTTTGTAATAACTAATGGTTTTTGGGTTGTTTAGAAAGTTTTAAATTGGCTTGAATTTTTAGGTGTTACACACATATATATTTATAATATTCAATCGGCATCAAGATTCAAAACTGTAACACCGTAATTTTTCAAACAATTTTTCACTTTTAAAAATATAATTTCATTCACAAATACTCTCAAATCTCAATGTATCACATCTCAAATCCATAAAAAAACACATCCCAAGATCAAAATGTATAAAACTCCAATAGTGTGGAACCATTATATACTAGGCTAGGCCTATTGTATGACGGGCTAGGCCTAATTATATGTAGGGTTGGGCCCATTGATTAGAAAGGGCTAGACCCATTGTTATGGGTTGGACCCAATATGCGGGCTAGACCCAATTATCTGTATGGTATGTGGTATTTTGGAGAAACTCATTAAGCTTTGTGCTTTCGGTTTTATGTTCATGGTTTTAGGTACTTCTAGTTCGAAAGGGAAGGGCCTGACGTGACTACACAACATCCCCCAGAGTTTATTCCGCATTTGAATTGTCGTGATTTTTACTCTGATTTTTAAATACTATTTTTCATATTGAATGATTTTGCGAATAAAATGTTATATGAATTGATGTTTTAAAAATGAAAATTTTCCTTTGATTTTTGGGTTGTGACAAGTTGGTATCAAAGCCTTGGTTTGAGAGATTCGGGCATACTCTCGGGTGTGACCGAACTCAAACTGATGAATTGGTAATCTTTTGAAAGGAAAAAAAATTTATGAAAGGATTTTTATAAAGAAAAAGGGGTTGTGATGCGTGCAATCAACCGAGCTCAAGTAAGTGATTCCCAGAATATCCATACATGTTGCTATGTTATATGATATGAATGCTTGCATGCTAGGATAATGCTAAGGGTACTTTCAGGAATTACATGATAGACTTGCCTGATATGTGATGCCTCGTAGCCTAAGAGGAATTGGATGTTATGCTAGATTTAGAATCTATGTTGGTAGAAGTAATTGCTAAGTTTATGCTTTAAAAATCGTACACGATTAGGATCATATAGGCCTAGATTGATTGATTTAGCCTTATTTTATGTTCCTTGTCTGGTTGTGATCCTAGGGTAGAGTCATTTATGTTGGATAAGGTGTCTAAGTCCATTACTATTTTTGGTATGTACTTGACCCGACCCGGCATGGTCCATTTGGGTTGCATGGCATCATGCATTTGGATAGACTAAATGAGAGAAATAACACTTGTGGTTTATTAATATATTATAAGTTCTAATATATTAATAGTATTATTTAATTAGTATTGATCAAGAATTAATCTAGAATTAATTAAGTGATCAAAAGGTGACTAATTAAATATATAGGTTGATTATGTAAATCATCCATAACTTGTATAGTGGGCTAAAAGGCTCCATGGATTATCAAGTTGGGTTAAACCCATTGGATGCTCCATGTAGGCTCCATGGGAGTTACCAACCCATGGGTCATGGAAATGAAGAGTCATGTCACATTAGGGTTTACATGGTGTAACCCTAGATGTGACACACTATATAAGCAACATGTTCTCCACCAAAATCGGCTACACATAGTTACAAGAGGGCTAGGCCGATTTTTACAAGTGTTTGCATTCTCTCAAAGTCATTCCAAAGCATTTGGTGTTGTGTGAAGCATTTGAGGCATCACACTTGGGGTGCTAGGCTCTCAAGGTTTCAAGGAATCATAACAACTACAAGGTATGTAATTCTAGCTATCTTTTTATATTATAATGTTCCCCATGTATGCTAGATAGGTTTATGAACCTTGGAAAAGTATTTTGCATGTATTTTAGACAAACATAGATCCAAGGTTTTCTAGGGTTGCATGTACACTTAGGAGTGTTAGAATGCTCAAAACCCATCAATTTATTCGACAATCTATTTTGATCCTGTATTGTGTATAATTTGCATACATAAGGCAACCGACGGTAAGAGTAGAAGTTCCTAGCATGGTAGTAGTAAGTGAGCTTGGGATGTCCTTTGTTTGCCTTGTGGCTTGGAGTGTTACTGCAAGAATGCTGCTTGCTTTGTGCTCTATAGGACCCTTAGTGATGTGAGTCAACTATTAAGTGAATACTTTAAGTCACATGCTACAAAGGTTAAATAATCTCATAGTGATGGATTCGACTATATTGCGCAACTCTCGTTTTAGTCTAACCATTGTAGGGTTGAGTCTTTTACTCGAAGGATTATCTAAGCTTTGTTGCATGTGATTGTATTCATGAAGTAGTTAGCTGACATTAGTGGGAGTTCTTCAGCAACTGATGGCAGGGTGAGGCCGAGAACCTAGGAGAGCCTAGGAAGTGCAGTATGTTTCATATCTGGACTCCAACACCTTTTGATCAAGTTTATAATGTTTTTTTGGACCTCATGGACTAGGAAGATTTTGATCTTTTGCCTTCCTTTTCAGCCATGCAAGTTATTTTGGTCATGTAGGCCATTTTGGTGTATTAAAGTTTAGATCTTAAAAGCTTGAAACATTATTATGAATAAAGTTGGAAACTTTATATAACACCGTAATTTTTCAAACAATTTTTCACTTTTAAAAATATAATTTCATTCACAAATACTCTCAAATATCAATGTATCACATCTCAAATCCATAAAAAAACACATCCCAATATCAAAATATATAAAACTCCAATAGTGTGTACTGATCATGCCGGCGCCTTCCCGCGATCCTCACTGGTACCTGAAACACATAACACAAAACACTGTAAGAATAAATGCTTAGTGAGTTCCCCAAAATACCACATATAACACATATTAGCCACTCGAGGCTATAACTCTATGGGCCCACTGGCCCTAACTCTGTGGACCCTCTGGTCCTAACTCTGTGGACCTTCCGGTCCTAACTCTATAAACTCTGGAATACACACAACATAAATCACATAGAAATAATACAGTGCAACACATCACATACATAGCATACAAGATACTCTGTCACATAACTCTAGTTACCACTCAAGGTAAAGTATAGTGAGAAGACTCACCTCGGGTAACTCGGGAAATCTCGAACTCGGTAAAATCTGGTCTAGCCCCCGCCTAATCACATGGAATAAGCACTCTAATCAATACAACCCTCAAGGCTAGACTAATCCCTCTCTTAGTACTCTCAGAAGGGTAAAAGACTATTTTACCCCTCTCATGGCCCAAAGACCCTAACATTGACCAAACCCTAAAAGTCAACAAAAGTCAACGGTGAACTTTGACCAAACTCGCCGAGTGCACTCGTGTGACTCGGCGAGTACATGCATGTCTTCTTCGGCCCTGGTCCTCACTCGACTCGCTGAGTCAACCCTACACTCAACGGGTTGTCACCGGTCGCGAGTCGCGGGGCAACCCGACTCGACTCGTCGAGTCCCTTATGGGCTCGGCGAGTCCCTCCCATGAAAACACTCAAAAGATCCTTTGAGGTCAGATTTGCTTCACCAACCAATAGATCCAACCTTCTAACACTCGAAAGTCACGTAAAGGTTCAAACTTTACGTTCATGCAATGCTTATAAGACCAAAAATGGAGAAATAACCTTTTAAATGGGGTTTTACTCTCAAGGCTCACATGAAAGCTCATAAAGCTGGAAGCTTGGGACCTTTTGGACCTCTCAAGGTCCAGATCTATCATCTATACCCAAAGGGACCTCATATGCTTCACAATCTAACTCAAAATTGTGCAAAGGAAACCCTAGATTCAAGGAATCTATCAAATACACGACATGGGAAGGAACTTGTACCTCAAAATGTGAATCTCAGTGTGAACAACACAGATCCAAGCTCCACAACCAGCCTAGCTTGTTCTACCTCTTTCCTTCTTGCTAAAACACACAAGAAATGGTGAGTTAGCCTTCCTCTTGCACCACAACGATCTCTCTGCTCTCTAGGGTTTCTCAGGGGTGAAGTGGCCGCAAATGGAGGCCATAAAGGCCTTTAAATAGGGCTCAGGCCCTGAGATTTAGGGTTTCACTTTACAGCGCGGACTCGCCGAGTCCACGTATCAACTCGTCGAGTCCCTCATTAATCCAGACAAGAATTCGCGATCCTACTCGGCGAGTCCGTGCGCCTACTCGCCGAGTCCCTCCCTAAAACTCAAGGTAAATACTTAAAATAAGATACCTGGGAATCCGGATGTTACAAAAACCCTAAGTTGAAGTTAGTATCGTTTTTTCCTTCTTCACTTCTCAAATCCGATCGACACCTCCCAAAATCGCACCTCCTCTTCTTCGCGTCTCCTCCCTCCGGTCGACAGAAGCCAAATGATTGCACCTCCCTTCTCTCTTCTCCAATCGATTGATGAAATTAAAAGCTCCTTAATCTTTTTTTTAACGCAACAACAAAGGAGGGAACCACCGCAACGGGGCACAAACCTCCACTTACGCCGTTCTACTTCTACTCAGTGTCCACTAGGTTTAGATGATCGATTCATATATCAGATCAATTTTTCCTTAAAACGTCTTCACGGAGCTCGGATTTGGATCCTATCTGAACTCCCAAGACGATGAACAAAGAAAATTTCGGTGTAGGACAACTATCAGATGAACAAAAGGCTCGAATTTCCGCAAATTTCAGAGCTGCGAAGGCTCTTCTTGATCGCAAACGCCCCCGAGATGCCTCCATGGCCTCCAATTCGTTTCCTCGAAAAATCGGGGTTGTGAAGGGGGTTGAAACTCCACCGATTGTTAGCAGTGTCAATAGACTGCCTCTTGCAGACATTTCAGTGAACACTCCCACTCCAGTTAGGGATCTTAAGTTAAATCAGAGCGGGTGTCTCAGCAGTTCACGTTTCAAGGTGCCTTCTGTTGGTAAAAGCGATGGTGGTTTGTTTGCCATGACGAGGGTTTTGCCAGATGAGAATTAAAAAGCTCACACTTCATTTCAAACTCCAATCAGACAAATTTTGTCTAATATAGTGAAGCATCTTTTTGGGATCAAGTGCAAAGAGCTGCACCGGGGGCCTTGCGTACACTAGCTTTCAAAAATGATGAAAACAAAAACCAGGTTGATGCTTTTATAATTTAGTGAAGCTTCTTTTTGGGATCAAGAACTAAATTTTGTCTAATATATCCATGAAACATTTGCAGATAGTGGAATGTAATGCTCTGCCCACCCTTGTTCTAATGCTTCATTCAGAAGATGTTGTTATACACTATGAAGCTGTTAGTTTCTGTACCATTTCTTAAATACCAATTAGTGTGTATACATCTATTGCATTAGATATTTCAGTATGTTTGACTTTCTTTTGACTTTGGAAAGATGTAAAGGAAATGGCCAAAAGGATCAACGATTTATGTGGTAAGCTAATTCTATCGGAATAGAATCACGAATTCAAATTCTATCGGAATGGAAACACAAATTCTAATTCTGTTGGAATGGAATATGGATTTTTTCTCATTGATTATACATGTTCTACAATTTTTGGTTATTGGTTTTGGTGCAGTTAACAAGTCCGCTTATTTTTCCAAAGGAATATAGTTTTTTATTTATCATTTGCTAATGCGTTATTGGATTCTAAACTACAATTGGATTTGTTTTCACAGAAGTTGATGCTTGAAGAAGTTGATGTTTGAAGAACGGTCAACAAAATTAAAAGTGTTTCTTAGCAACATTATTCTTTTAGAATGAATTAGTGTATTTGTTAGATTTTGATGGTTTTTTTTTCCCGATTTGAAAGTTTTTTAGTTTTTATTCTTTAACAATAAATGTAATTCTTAACAATTGTTACATGTATTCTCTAAGAATTAATGTAATTTTTGTTTTAATTCTTCAATTGCTGGTTCGAGAATTTGTTATTCTACAAGAAATTTTTAAAGTCACGATCAAGAAAATTTGTTATTTTAGAATATTATATATGAACATACTCAAACATATTATGTCAGAATGTCCGAATTAAAAACCTTATAATTAGTAAAAATCGGATTTTTAAAATTAATGGAATCTGATCCCTTAAAATATGCAAATTTCATTTATTAAATATGTATTAATTGACTAAAATACCCTTCTAGTTAAATTGGATGGTATTTTTCAATTATTTTTAATTCAATAATATGTATTAATCACTTTCTTAAAATAAGTAAAATGATTGGCCCACATTTATACATATAATAACACAATAATTAGTTTTAATAGAATAACCTAAGCATATATATATATATATATATATATATATATATATATATATATATATATATATATATATATATATATATATATATAAAGCAAAAATACCATTTTACCTTTGTTGAAGTCTTCAAAGTGTACCATGTTTATTTAATTATGTTTGATTAAGCTCAGTCATATGACCTAGTTGGTAGTGCCAAAACTTAATTACATCAGTTTCTGAAGATGTGGTAGACAAAACTAGATCATAAGTGGTCGAAATTCCAAGGTCTAAAGATCTCCCGATTTGATGGATTTTTAAGAAGGGTTTCTCTTTTTTTATTGATCTTGTTGTATGGACAAGCAGAGAGGTAGTACAAGTCACATGTCTAGTAGTAATGGTTACCTAATCATGGTATACATCGTCAGATTTACCCGAACATGGTATACGCCGTCAAATTTCCATAGATTAGCCTTAATAACAACCATTAAACCCTTTGAGATCTTCGAGATATCACCTCCTCTTGTATATGTATACCCTTTGTCATCGAAAACATTAAAGGATATGATATTTTTCTTCATCTTAGGAATAAACCAAAGGTAAGTTCGAATGGTATTGTAGATCTTGTTGTGAATGGAACTGATATCTTCAAGCTTGCATTAGGAGTCATTAAATCCAAGAACTGATCTGACATTATGAATTGATTCAAATATAGGAAACCAATCTTTATGAGGACAAATGTGATAAATACAAACCAAATCAAGAACCCAATATTGTTGATGTCGACACAATGAAAACATATGCAAGAATTTGACCATCATAATTATTGTTGTTGTCACGAATAAAATTAGCATATCGATCTTCATCTTTCTTTAAGTCTTTTATTTCCTATTTATTTTGCAATGTATAGCACTGTGAAATCTTATGACCATTTTTCATTCAATGCTTGCAAGTCTTGCATATACCCCATAATTTAAAACGCCTTTTCTTGCCTTGGGAACCCTTTTCATTGTATCGATCTCATACCTTCACCATAAGAGCTTCTTGACTCATTGGAAGAAACCATGTGCTTCATCTTTTTCCTTGGAGTACAAGGCTCCATAGTTGCATTCAAAGTAAGACTATCATAGCTATGGAAGATAATGTCACTGAGATTGGAATAAGAGTTCAGAAGAGAACCTCAATCAATTAATCATAGATTTTCCTCATCATATTTGATTTACATAGTAGCCAAGTGAGACACGGTTACTTTGAACTCAAATATGTGGGTAAACAAATCTCCATCTTCTTGCAGTTTATGAAGGAATAACTTTTGTTCCAAATGCATCTTGTTTGTGAGATTCTTCTTAATGAAAATAGATTCAAGCCTAAACCATATTGCAACAACAATCTTTTCCTTCAAAATTGTTTTGTAGGTGAAGCTGAATTTGAGTTAAGGCTTTCTAATCCTTCCTTTTCTCATCTTCAATCCTAGTAGTTTGAGCTCTACTTCCATGGGAATCCAAATTATTATCATAGTCAACTTGAGTCAATAGAGATCATATCTTCACTTGCCAAGTTGCCATAGAAAAAACATGGTTTCAAGATCCACAAGCTAAAGATACATGGAAGCCATGGGGAAAATCTATTATAACCCTACAAAAGGTTTATGAGAATCGATTATAGGGAACATTTTTTTTTTTTGAGAAAAAATCATTTAGGAATTAAATAAGTTCAAGTGGAAAAAATCAACTTGGGTTTAGGATGAGCGAGTATAAGAAGATCACTTTGCAAGGTTAATGAAAGTCGATGGAAGAACCCTACTGGGGTTTAGTGATAAATTAAGTCTGCGTTTTAGAATGAATGTCTTTGATACCACTTGTAATACAATGGATAGTTGGATCACATAAAATCATAAAACAGAGTGACGAAGTAGAGAGGAAACCTTTGCAGCAAAACCACAAGACGATATACGAATTTCGATTACACTGAAGAAAGTTACAAGTTTCTTTCTTGAAAAAAATATCAACTGTGTGGGTGGGGGTGATAAATACAAAACATATCATAATGGCCTTTTTATAAACTTACAAAAAAGAATCCTAAAAACAATCAAAACTATCATGCGAACATAAATCGAGAATGTAACTTTCTTGGAAAAGCTATCTTACACATAAAAAAAAAATATTTAATCAAGCAAGGTAGGGTTTCAGAGCATCCATCAATATCCATCAACAGGAAATGCAAAGAGAAATGACACTTCAGAAAACCAGTCTTGTAACGATAAAGAGAAGAAGAGACAAACTTGACACATAATATGTTGCAAAAAGAGTCTAGTCAAATCTTGAATTACGGACTATGTTGTGCATCATTTCATGCGATGTGTAATGTAGAATTTCCAACATTACAATTGCAATATGATACACACATCCAAACACCACCTCTCTTTCTGGTTTGGATCAATCAGGATTCAGGACAACCAGATTTGTTAAAAAAAAAAAAAAAAGTGGCTTTATCAGAGGATTCAGATATTAAAACCAGAATCCATGGCAAGGTACAAACATGTTCACCAATTATTTCCAACAAAACAAAAGGTTTACAAAGATGTTCTAACATAATCCCAGAATTAAAATAGGGATAACAACCATCATTCTCCCTATAAATTTTAAAGGAAAAAAAAGCACTTAGCTTTCAAGACTCTTGATGTTCTGGATTTGCTTCCCAGGGTTGAGCCCCTTAGGGCATGCACGAGCACAATTCAAAATTGTATGGCAGCGATACAACTTGAATTCATCATTTACTGCATCTAGACGCTCTTGTGTATATTCATCACGACTATCCATGATCCACCTGATTATAATTTAAAACAATCATTGCAACAGTTACATAATGTATCAATGGAACACCATATGCAAAAGATTGTGACATTTTTGCAGAACAACAGCCAAATAATCTTGGATTCTCCTAATTAGTTTAACATGATGATGATTTTGGAATTTGGATATGAGGTTTCTGAAATCAAAAGCATTGATAGAGGTCCTGAGTGATTAAACGCATCAGCAGCTTTCCCAGATTACTATACTATTCAGAAGTAAGCATGTAATTTACAAGAAATGCATATTAGGATTATCCAACTGAAAGAATCAGAAATCAAAATGGGATCCAAACTAAAACAATGAAGAAGAACACAAACTATCTAACATCATAAGAATTGGAGTTTAAGTTTAAAGTAATCTGGCAACTAACTGTATGCAATGCAACAGATATGAATAGAGACGTGGAAGATTATACCGATTAGCGTGAAGAAGAGCAGCGGGACCAAGGTAAGACTCAGGATTCCACCAATAGCTAGGGCACGATGTGTTACAGCAAGCACACAATATGCATTCATACATCCCATCGAGCTTCGCCCTATCATCCTTACTCTGATAAATCTCTTTCCCTACCCAACCAATCGGCGCCGGAGACTTTCTCTTCAACCACGGCTCAATACTCTTATATTGATTGTAGAAATTCGTCATATCCACCACCAGATCCTTAATCACAAACATATGCGGCAAAGGCGTAATCATCGTCGCATCTCCCGACGGAATCTTCGTCAAACAAGCAAGTCCGTTACATCCATCGATGTTCATAGCACAGGAACCGCAGATTCCTTCACGGCACGACCGACGGAACGTCAAGGTAGGATCGATCTCGTTCTTGATCTTAATCAGTGCATCTAGGACCATAGGACCACACTCCTTAAGGTCGATCTGGTAGTTTTGGAGCTCTGGTTTTCCTGG